ATCTTTACAGATCATCAGTATGTGGCACCTCAAACAATAACTATTGTTTCAAAAGCGATGCCATCTGGAGTCTCCAGAGAACCTGAGACGATTGCTCTTGCAGCAAGCCTGGGTGACAAGGAATCCATAGCTCCTGTTCATCCAGAATCATCAAAACACTTAATGTCTGAGTTACAAGAATCAAGTTCATCTTATTCAGGTCATCCAACATCAACTAAAAAATTACACAGCACAACTGACGACCTCAACTCTTCTGGTCAAATTAGCTCTTCTGCTGAAAGTACAATAGCTGCTTTCCAAGAGCATTCAGGTTCAGAATTGTCAGCTGATGGAGTACCACCATCAGTATCTTCGTCATTAACCCAAGCTACTGAGCGCAAACTCAGAGCAGTGGTCAGATTAACTCGACTTCCGTTGTCCATTTCCACCAAAGAATCGGTCTTAATCTCAACGTTGGTATCCAAGGGTATTGTACAAGAAAAGTCATCATATGCTCATGTCTCAGATGAAACAGATCGACTAATTCCTGATTTGGAACACGACATTTTATGCAGTGACATGGAGGACGAACAAGAAGATGCTTTCATAACACAGGAGGATACATCTGACCCTCATGTTCAGATGAGTAAAGCTCAGTTTCTCGCCAAACTCTCTGTGTCACCTTTGGAAAATGAGGTAAGCTATGCAAATGCAGAAATATAGTGAAGTGTTTCTATTTTATTTTTGGATTGTATTAAATTCATATTTTCTTTTTTACAGCCCAACATTAATGAAATTTCAAATCCCAGAGGAACCAAATCCATTGTTTCTCGTCTACGTAGTCATCTGCAGGCTCATTTGGAATCAAAAAGAAGTTCGACAAAACAGGTTGCAGGAGAAGAAATGCGGACTGAGAACAAAAACAAGAAACCACATTTAATTGTTCAAGACTCAACCAAAATACCAGCTCAAGCTCTTTATATTGTCTCTCCAAGTAAGATTGCTTGTATGCAGAGTTTAGGATTGCACAAGGGTGGTGGTGAACTAAGTGGTACTTCTAGAATGTCAGTATCTACAAAAGAATTCCCTAATATAGGTTTTAAGAAGCCTTGCTCAGGTACACATAGTGTTATGAAGTCTATATCTGAAAGTCCAAGACAGTTGAGCTCTCCAAAAGAAAGTACAAGCATAAATGTAACTAAATCAACTTCTGTGAGCCCAAAGAATTCCCCTTCAAATAAAAATAATACAATTTCACTAATTAAAAGGTCTAGTTCTGTCAGTCCCAGGAGACCTACTTCTATAGGTTTCAAAATAACAGGAAATGATTCTACCCCTAAAAGTGCAAAATCCAGTTCACTGAGTCCTAAGAGGTCAACCAAAGTATCTTCTAGTCCCAACAAGACGGAATCCAGTGCAGAGGAAAACAACTCAAGCCCTGAGATGTTGAGCACTCAAAGTTGCTCTACATCACCTAAATCCAACCCCAAGACAAAATCCATGAAAAGGGAATGCAGTTCTTTCACTCCTAGGAGATATATTGTAACTGCAGACAGTTCTATCACTGAGATAACTAAGTGTGAACCTGAATCCCCCAGTCCAAAGTGTCTTAAAATGGCAAAAAATGATCCCAGTCCCCCAATGACTGCAGAATCTAATCCTAAGAAACCCAGACAACTTCAAGGCCATTGTGGTCAGAAAACAAACCATAAAGTTGCAAGTGCCAAAAAATTGACCAATTCAGCTAAAGGTAGGAGAAGAGTTGGGAAGAAAAGGGGAAGCTATAAAAAGAAAAAGCTGGAGTTACCAGTGATTTCATCCGGGGTTGTGAAGAAGTGGCGAGCTAAAGTGTGGTATCCTCCTACGCTTCCGCCCAATGAAAAACCTATGACGGATATAATAAGGCCGCCACCTCTAAAGGTAGAATACAGAATTCCAGATATACCCCTTAGTGCACCACCTATTGTGTCTCCCTTACAGCCATTGGCTGTCATCGGCAGGCATCTGCTAAGGAACCAGTGTGGAGAATGTGGCCGTGTTTTTAGTAACAGCAATGCACTCGAGAGCCATGTCAGTCTCCATAAAATATACCGGCCTTTCTCCTGTAAACTGTGTGGGAAGTACTTCCCAGACTCTAAGACTTTTAAACGTCACGATCGGGTGCATCGCAACGGCAGGATTCACGTCTGTCAACATTGCGGGAAGGGCTTTGTTTATCGTTTTGGTCTAAGCAAACACATCCAAATGGTCCATGGCAGGATAAGACCTTTTATCTGCCAGGTATGCGGCAACGGCTTCTACACCAAACGGGATGTAGAAATCCACATACGGATCCACACTGGAGAGAAACCTTTCCAATGCCACATCTGTGAAAGGCGATTTACAAGAAAAGTGGAGTTGAATGTGCATTTGCGGTGGCACAATGGAGAAAAGAGACACTGGTGTCAATATTGTGGTAAAGGATTTTTAGATTACAATAACCTGAAGAGACACAGATATACCCACACTGGGGAGAAACCATATTCCTGCCCACACTGCCCCAAGAACTTCACTCAGACTGGTCACCTGAAAAAGCACGTTAAAACTGTGCATAAAAAATAAAACTGGAGTAAATTTTTAAAAACGGGACCACCCTGTTCCTCTTGGTGCTTGCACTGTAAGAGAGAAAATCAGTTAATTTTACATGCTTATTCAAAAGTTTTTTTTTTTTCTTTTGTGTTAGTAATGATGCAACAACACCACAAAGTTTACAAATTTAGGGACTGGTTTTATTTTTCTTTCAAAAAAGAAAAGTAACTACATTGTTTTATGCATGTAAGGGTTTAGGAAAATAAACAAAAAATGGCAAAGCGTATAATGTGATTATAGATACATTGACGAGCCCTAAAATTTTAATAGAATTTGCACAAAATAGATGCAACTTTTAGAAGATAGGTTGATGTCTTATTTTTTTGTTATGTAACTCCATTTCATGGTATCTGCTGTTTAAAATAATACATCTGGAATTTAAAGTCAGTTATGCAAACTTGCGCTTTTTTATTTTAAGGTGGGAAAGAAGTTGGTTTTACTTAATTTGTGAGTAACAATTACCAGATTGCCCGTAAGCTTTATTTTCATTGCTTGCCATAGCTTTTAACCAGTATGTCATAGGATTATTGTCTAATACATACTGAATGCTTTGAAAAAGTTGTAGCTTTTAGGCACTTGTTTTAAATTATCCAGTGACGCAAGTATTTGACTCACTTTCCCATAACCTCACTAACACAATTAAAATTTTTAATGCAATATTGGAATTTGAACCAGTAGTGAACACATTGTTTATCTAAATAGAATTATTTTTATTTAAGAGATTTTTTTTTAATATTGTAATTTGTTTTATTATGTAGTTTTGTCAGGCTTAATGACTGTTGAATTGACTTGCTTTTGCAGTAATTCAATACAAGTATGTAAGCACTTAATGTATCAACATCAGAAAAGCTGTAAATGTTTTTTGCTTTATCTCCTGTTTGCACTGCTCATGGCAATATATATATATTTTTATAAATGGCTTATAATTCACTTAGATATCAAGATATGAACAGATTTAGCAGAAAAATTGTTCTGATATGTGTGTGATTTTGTGCATGCTTTTAAGTTTATTTTGACTTCATTTTATGCCTTAGTAAAAACCTTTTTGTCAAGCAGGAAAAAGAAGCATTTTGACAATGCTTGTCTGAGTTAAAGAAGAAAGCAGAAAAGTATTACATTTAATTCTATAATTACTGTTGCATTGCAAAAGTAATGATACTTTACTAATTGCCTAAGTTTTTCTTTTCAGTGCACAATATGTGAAAATGTTTTAACAAAACAGACTTGATATGTAAGATATGGAAGACAGCTGTATATATTGTAAAGTTACTGATTTCCGTCAATTTGAGATGGATATTTTGATTGAAGAAATAATAAATGTCTTGTACAAAAGTCTTCTTTTTGATGTTGGAATTTATGAGTATCTTTTTATCCTGTAGGCTTGGATTTATGCTACTAGGTGGTATATAACTTGTAAAATGACTTCAGATAGCTTAGTAGGTATTTTGGACATGTCTCACCAACAAGGTATTAGAGGAAGTCCCATACTGACTCTTCTTACCTGGATCGTCCTTAGTGTGTCCCCAGAAAGAGCTAGGAGTTATTTAGTTAAAGGACAACCTTTAGGCAAAAATGTTTGTCCACATATGGAGAAATAGGACTGCAAAAATGTAATTAGAATCTTAAAACTTATAATCGTCTCAGACAGCAATAAGTAATTAGATTTTGTCTTTTCAAAGGCAAATGGAAACAAAATTTTAAATGAGAATTGTTAAAAAAGGCATGTAAAAACTGCATTTGAAGAATACAAAACTAGGTAGAGATTCCAAAAATCCAACCACTTAATCTGAGAATCGTAAACCTCTGAGGTTTGCCATTATTTTTATTAAGGGGTGAGTATTTGGCATTCGTAATTTCAAACATTTTCCAGGTGAACAATAATGTTTATAACCCCTTCAAAGAAAAGCTTTGAGTCTAAGTTCCTTTGTTTGTTACCCTTCCAAGTATTACAAAACCCAACATGCAATGCATCACAACCTTTCTGAGGTAAAAAAGCAGTTCGCTCAAGCTCCCTTTAATCGCATGAAGAAGACCTTTACTTGCAACTGCTGAAGTGTTCTTTTCAAAGTTCGATTGATTATTTTATGTTGCGTCAGAAAGTGGTTCATACATCTAGCACTGTACATGACAAGGCAACTGAAGCATCTTATTATGCGGTGTTATTTAGTTAAAGGAGGTAAACTCCACAACAGCAGTAAAACGTATGAATAAAACATCAAGCACAGAAATGGGAAAAAGTATGTAACAGCAATAAATTTGTTGAGGTGTCTTTGCTGTCTCGGGGCTTATCCTTCTGAGAAAGCTAGAACAGACATTGAAATAAACCAAAAAGGAGAATGTTACAAGAACAATACCCGCAGTTTAGCCTGTAATAAACACTCAAAAAACAGAAATAGTGAAATGCTCCATTTTATTTGGTAATATATCAGTTATTTGATGCTTTAACATTTGTTGTATGCAGTTTTGATTATACGTGTGCTGTATTTTACGTTTACATATAATCTGCAACTTGTGGCATCTAATACTCATGAACAGGTCAAACATTTTTGAAGAAATGATTTGTTCACTCATCTAAATGGACACAAAAGTGTCCTTCCTCTGTGAGGCAGGTTTAAAGAGTCACTTTTTAATCATGGATACATTTACTGCATTGGTAATATTTAGTAGTGGTCCAGATCTCTAGTACTTGCCTCTTAAGCATCAAAGACCAAGTTACAGCGTTGTATTTAATTCTGCTTAGTAGCAATGACCTAACTTATTCAGCCTGCAAGTTATTGTTTGCTGGTGCTGTGCAGCACCAACAGGGTGTGTAATGAATGTCGTTACAATAGTCAAAAGCAAATAGCTTTAAGTTATCAAACTGCGTGAAATAGTTAATAAAAGGCACAGAGGCAAGTAGGTTTTTCTTTTCCAGACTAAATCATTTAAAAGATATACTTAACATTTATCATGATACTGTAAACTTCTTTAAGACCTTACCACAAAAATAGAAGCCAAAAGGCAAAGCCATAGTGGCAACGACAGAGTTGTAGTAGGAAAACTGTGTGAACGAATGATCGAGTGGTAACATTTGCCCACATTGCCAGCCTTATCCACAGCTACAATCTCGACAATCTGAGAACAGCAGGAGGCGCTGTAGTACGCTTCAACGAAGGAAGCGTTCAGAGTGGTGTGTGTAAAATTCCCATTGCCTTGAATCAAGGAAATGCTTTGAATCCCAGTGCCATTTTCATCAGTGAAGTTGGCAGAGAGCTCCCACTGGAAAGGTCCACATTCCGAGACATCACGAGGGCAATTTTCCACGACGGTCGTCACTTCACACTTTGGCGGATTAAAATCTATGATCTGTGCAAAATGCAGAAAGAAAGATGACTATTACATACAGTGATTCTTTGTCATGTCCACAAAGCCCTAATAAAGCTGTTTTTTTCTGATTAATCTCTTTACTTTGGTCTAAATAGATAAGTGTTCTTTGCAGATGTTATTTGTACATAAATCAGAATAAAGTCCTGTTTTGTTTTACCATGTTTTCTTGGAGATCCTAATGAGCATATGTCATCTTACCTTATGGACGACAGACAGTCTCAGAACAGCATAATTGGAGTCAACGCCACTTGATGATTTGGCTTCAATAGTCAGAGTGACATCAGTGCCTGATTCTGTGTCAGCAGTTGGTGTAATTGTCAGTGTAGCATTAGCATATTTTCCACTTGACAAATTGAGCCTGTCAAAAGATGTAAGAATTAGTTTTAAAGTTATTTTGAAAGAATATGTGAACTTTATTGTTAAGAAAGATAATTCATCATAGGATGGATGTACTCCAACTGAAAAGAGAATTTCCATTATCATTATCATTTTAACAGTTATCAATTAAATTCTTAGTTTTTTTTTTTTTGGGCTTGTATATTGTCTGTTTTGCAATATGTAGGCCAAATTTGGCTGCTCATCAGTTCAGTAAAGTCCTATGAGTCATACATAGATGCTTCATGTCACATTAGAAACAATTTCCTCCCACCCCAATCCTGTCATGTCAGTTTTATACAGGAACATTTGTAAAAGAAACCATATGAAACAGATTTTTCTCACGTTTCTGGGTATGACATAACAAAGTTTCTGTCGTTTCGGGCGCTGATGGTGTATGTACCACCTTCACTTTGGGTCATCACACTGAAGGGAAGTTTAAAAGTTTCCCCTGGCTCAACACTGCTTTCCACTGCAGCCTTGAGAAAGAATAATCACGGCACATTGTTAGGGAGGACCGGTTTCAAATCTTTTCACACTAAAATATATTTTAATGTTCTTAAATACAATACTAAGCACAGAGTGTATGTTTTTTATTCAATTATAAAAACTTGGCATACTACATATAATCAGGAGGATGCTTTCCTGCAGTTCATTGTCAAGTCATTGCTAACCTGTAGCAAATTGTTTCTAAAAGGCAACATTTTAAGATATAGATTATTGAAATCTTTCACACATCATTTCAATCTGAATACTCTCCTTTTTCTTGATATCATCAGTCAAACAGATGTATTTGGAGGATGTGAGGAGATACTGCAAGAACTGACCTGGATATTAACTTTGGAGACGGACATCAAGGTGGTAGACTGTCTCTGAAATTTGCTGTTAGACACTGTGTCTGTTCCTTTGAGAATGAGCACAAACTCCCCTTCAGGAACGACATCAACCGTGACCAGGGTCTCTCCATTCCCCATGTCAGTCACTGTGCCATTGGTTACAACCGCTGGACCAGACATTGTTACCAAGCCAACCTCTTCGATAGTTATTGAAGTTGGACCTTTTCTTCCTATGACTGAGAGCATCAGGGTGGCAGGCTGATCTGTTTTTTTTTTATTTGAAAAGAAATTTGTTTTAGTTTTGCTGTAGTTTTTCATTATTATTATTTACTACAACGTAAGATGGAGATTACAAACTTCTCTAATGAAGAGCTCTAAACTTCAATAAATACATTTTAATATTTCACTTTGGAGTACTGTATATACAAAAAATACAGAACTGTGCTGTGTACCTGCTCGTGGACGTCCACTCAGTACTGCATAGCCTGCGTGAGGTCCTGTGAACTTTTCGACAAAGTCATATATGAAGGTAATTGTGCTCTGGCCTGGAAACAAACAAACCAAAAAAATGTATATTTAATAAATTCAGAGTAGATCTGATGCTACTCGCGCATTAACTTCATTTAGAGGTAACCAAAATAGATGAACAAATGTATGGTGTCTTACCTGTGACTTTGAGTGTGTATGGCTGACTGGATTTGATGTTGATCTGCCAGGTTCCTGACAGCTTGTCAGCATACAGGCGGATTCTCCTGAGGTTACCGACTTTGTGGATGGTTCCCAGTTTACCACTGGGTTCAGTGTCAGTCTGGGTAACATCTACAAATGTGAAAAATGCGACATTAGACAGCGTGGTTACTCTCAGAGAACAGACAGGCATTTTGTCGGTTTTATCTGAAAATTGAGTTACCAGCAGGATTGGTCAATGTGAAAGTTAGTGATGTTCCTGTAACGTATATAGTGATGTTTTTCAGAGATTCATCCAACACAAAAGGGAAAGTCCCTGCAACAGTGGCTCTCTGAAGAACTGTTACCTGCCGGAAGGATGGATAATTCATCTAATAGTTCTTTAAGCCATTTCAATCACTTACAGACTAATACATGTAAACAGTCCTACCAGAGCAGAAGTTGAGGTGTCAAGGATAATATCTGTAGCCTGAGGGAGTTGGGACTTGGACACCTGGATAGCCTGGCCTCCAGATGCCAAAGCCAAGTCTTTATAGTCTTCGAAGGAGGAAATTGCCAGAGACCGACGCCGCCTCCTGCTTGCCCCCGTCATAAAGAATGAGACCTATGGAAAAGAAATCATGGAAAAATTAGAACCTCCATCTCCCTAATTGTGTAGACTTGCTATGCTTACATAATCGTTTAGTGCTTTTTGATGTTTACCGTTGATTTGGTGCTCCTCATGAGAGCAATGATTGTGTCTTTCAGGGCAATGTCTTTGGCTATAGCATCAGTGAAAACATAGATGTTGGATGAGGAAGGGGCTCCTGTGAGAGCCAGCTGAAAGAATGAAAATTTCAAAATGATTATTCACAGTTACTTTTAATGTTTACAATAGAAGTGCACCGATTGTAGTTTTCTGGCTGATTGCTGATTAACAATCTTTACAAACCCGAACCAGCTGATTCCGATTTTGGACAATACCAATGTTGCTAAAATGAGCAAAAATATCACTGAGTTGGCAACAATGGGGTCAGTATTTTCGAGTGCAAATGTGTAGACATGACCTGGTGGGATGGTCTGTCAGTAAAGCCTCTCTCACGGGACAGCAGAAGAGGACAGTGGCTGATTTTTGCTGAGATAGATAAACTCAGAGGATAAGACTGGCTCTTCAAATGTAAGTATCTCCCAAAATTAAGGAAATCGGCACCAATAAAACAGCTGACCAACAAATAAATACACTGCTAGTTTCCAGTTTAAATTTTAAAACATCACAGTTGGTTCATGTACCTGAAGTCCCGATAGACACATCTCTGGTGTGTCTCCACCACCATTTGCTTTGAGCTTGGAGATTTCTCTTTTCATTTTCTCAGCATCAGTTGTCCTGATCATAGGTCCAAACTCTACAAATACATGCATAATTGAGCCAAGCACAGAGACTAACTTGTAAGAATCTCCATTTAGGGTTAGTAAGGTATAATTGCTCATACCTGGGTCATTAAAGGGCACGAGGATGTACTCAGATGGTTCGTCTTGTGTTCCCTTTTTGCTGTCAATGATTTTATACATAACCGACCTAGCTGCTTCAATATCATCTGACATGCTGCCGGTGGTGTCAATGACAAAGCACACCACAGATGATCGAGCAATGCCCATCATTCTATGAGAAAAGACAAGCATATTTTTAATTGCAAAATGTACTTTCAGGCAGTTTAGTATGCTGACTTATCATAATAACTACCTGCCTAATGTGTTCATTCACCATTTGCTGCCAAAACATCTTTGACCAGTCAAGGCTTTTTTTTTTTATTTTAAATATTGTTATACCTCAAAAAGTCATGGTTGCCTACAGCCAAACGGATGTCTTCTAAGAGTTGGAGGCTTGCAGCTACTGCTGCATTGACAGCAGCATCGTGAAATTCTTTATTGTCAGAGCGGCGCTCGTCTTTGCTGATGCCTCCTCGAGGAACTGTGGTGCTGGTGAGATCAGATTCACCTCCATGGCTACATTTACCTGAAACAAGACAGGACAAAGAAGATAAACTGGGTCATATTTAACACCTATCTATGGAATATTAAATTAACTTTTAAACATTAATAGTGTCGTCAAGAATTTGGATACAATTTGGCTTGGAGAAAAGACTGCACATTGGTGTCGTATGTTAAGTAATAGAAAGTATATGAAGAAAGGAATAAAATTATGTGCTGGCTACAAGATTTCTCAAAATGCATTCCATGTCAAAAAGGACGACATTTAGACTTCTATAAAAATTTTGCATGGTTGCATTCAGATAGCGTACTTAACAGTGAACAACAGATGTTCCACATTTTGCTGGAGTTAGTTCACAACAAACTTTGAGAATTTTTTAAATTCCTTTCTACTCTGGGACTGGATGATTGTGTTGTTTTAGATTTGTTGTAAATATGAGATGATATACCTTTAGGTTTCTGAGAAGAAAATATTCCCAAGTAGCCTGATGTGAGTTTCTTCTCATTCAAGATGTTGGAGAGAATCTGATTAGGACATTTTCCATTGGCACAGTCACTGCAGGTCGGAGTGTTCAAATCTGCCCAAAAGGAAAAAAAAAAAGATTACAGTGGAATTTTACAATTTCATAACTGTGAATACACCTGCTGATTTATTAGACTTCCTACGCCACAAATAAGTAATCTTTGCACTTCAGACACCTGAGTGTTTTTCAGGAAAGGGTGACGCAAGTTGTCCTCTTTGAGCAGTTAAAGTCCAAACCCACAGAACATGTCATTCTTTATGGAAAGCTGTGTTTCAACTCTTTTACCTGCCAGGTTTTCAAGAGGCAGGTGTGGTCTTAAGAGGTTGACATATGGTTCTGTGTATCCCAGTTCCACCCAGTTACTGTGACTGTAGAAATCCTAAGAATCAACAGAAACATTCATACCATTACAAAATCAGTTAGCCCACAAAAAAGTGCAATGGCCACCTCTACATCTCATTCACACTCATTTTATAGCATCATTTTTAACTATCTATAAGGCATTTAAACCTTTTTCCTCTTTTGACTATAGATTTTTTATACAATACATATAAAACAATTGAAAAAAAGTACTATAAACATTAGACATACAGTATATGTACTAGCTTGTCTTATGTTATCATTTCAAGCTATTTCTTTTTAAGATTTTGTGTCATTTGACCCCTCTCACCTGTAATGTGTGTAGGACTCTGCCCAGTGTTTCCCTGGCAGCCTTGAAGTTCTCCTTCTGAATGTTAGCTTTGACGGCCGCTACGCCCTCAGTGATTAATCCACGTCCCTCTAAGAATGTTTCGGAGTTGAAGTGATGTGGCGGGCTGGAGTTTGGACAAAATTTCAATGCAGAACATTTTACTGGATTCATACATTTTGATTCAAACTTCTTTCCATAGTATTTTTCTTCCCACTTTACCTATTTACAAAGTCACGGTCCACCAGGCCGTTCTGGGTGTAGATCTCTTGGAGAGCTGAGTGGAACTTGGCGCCGGAAACATCTCCTGGTGCGGTGGGACCCAGACAGGCCTGGACTAACTCTCCTGGAGAAGAACCCTAAAGTTCAGAAGGAGAAGTCAAAAGATAATAATTGAGAGAGTGGGAAAAAAACAACGCAAGAAGTTAAATGGTCATTTCTCCCTTTCTTCATCGCAAAATTTTCATAATCTAAAAATGTAACTTTTGGGGAGAAGCATAGGAACAGCCTGTTACATTAAACTCATGCTATTTGCATTATAGTTAGTCATGAGTCAGGTTTCTCTTTGGTGTCAAATGTAAAGTAATATTCTGAGAAGTAATAAAATATGACAAAGATAGTTTTCCATTCACTGTTGTGACTGAAATAAACTTTGAATATTTTTAAACAGCTTTATGCTGCATTGCTTGTAACTATGATTGAGTAAAAGATGTTCCTGAACAATTATGAAGGACACATACACATTAACCTGAATCTTTCTTTTACAAGATGATGATTATCAGTGCAAACTAGCACTTAAAGAGTGCTAGTTTGAAACAGGGAGTGGGTATCTTGATTTTGTCTTTACAGAGTCAGGCACAAATATTGTATCCATCCTCTTCAGTACTCAGTGAGATTTTCAGAAGCTTTTCAAGTCTAAACTGTGTTGTGCAATGAAACACCCAAAGATCTCAGAGATAAAAGTGTAGATTTGTATCAAAGCAGAGAGAGGGATATTTGTTGTTTTCATGACAAGGATCAACACTGGTGGGGAAAAATAGTGAAAATTATAAAGTATGCATGTTTAAAGTGAAGGATAAACTAAAATTAAGAAAAATATATTAAAGAAAATAACACAAACAAAAGAACTGTGACTAAACTAAAATAAGATTATTGTATTGAGTCACTGAAGAGGAAAAATACAACAGCTTTTTGATGAATTTGAAAATCACAAACAACCTTAATTTACTCAAGGAATCCAGTCCAAATAATGAAACACGCTATATACAGGTCCACACATAGTGGAATTCAAGATTAAAATATAAAGTTTTGATTTGATTTTTACAGTTTTGAGAAATTTAATTTTGGGTTTGGGTGATTATTAATAAAAATAAGTATTTAAAATATCTTAGGATCAATACATAATATAAGCTTAACTTTTTGAATAGAAACAATAAAAGTGATTAATGCAGTATTTACTGGCTAAATAAAGAGTCTTTTAAAACCAAAGCAGCACATGAGCACGCTCATGTGCTGCTCTCTCATGCTCTTTTTGAAAATACATGAGCAAAACCTTCCTATCAGAACAATGAGTGTTATTAAGATTATTAAGAAGAAAGAACAGATTAGAAATTATTTATATACTCTTGCATTTCTTCTTATATTATGAACTAAGAGTTAAAATACTGATTGTACACTTCTCATATGTTGATATAAAGGTAATTTGGGTAAACATTAAGAACCGAATAAAGCAAAAATGTGAATCAGTGTGTGCGGGTGTGTATGTGTGTTATCTTATTTTTACTGCCTATAAAATGGACAGTAAAATATGATGTCAGAGTCCTCAGTTTCTGTACATTGACCAACAGTTTTAGTGTTATTGCTTGTGCTTTTTCTTCCTTCATACCGTAGGTTTGAACTCATGACCAGCTGCATCAGCCACCGCCTGGCACGTCTCTGTAACCTTTTTCAGCAGGGCCGTCCCAGTAATGCTGACGTGAGTAGATGCTCCTCCCCCGACTGGAACAAAGGCCAAGGCAGGGGACATCAGAGTAAAAGTCAGCAAGGCTGCACCAAGCAGTGAAGTCATGATGACTCTAGAGAGATAAATAGAAACCAATTCATTATTAAATATGACAGGAGCACGTCTAAATTATGTAAGTCTGAATAATATTTCCTCCTGTTGAATCTAGAGAAATGACATTATAATGCAAGAACACATTCTCAAATATCAATAAACTTCAAATTGTAATGAACCTTTAACACTGGAACTGGAAGACACTTGAGATATCCAAAATATAACAAAACAACAAAAAAAGCAAATAAGATTAATTTTAAAGTCTCTGTAAAAGCTTGTCCTTCAATAAAAGGGTTAGTTGAGCACAATGCATTAGACTTTAGGCTTTTGTCTGCGAGAAAAAAGAAGAAAACAATAAATTATGCAAATGGAAATTATTGAGCTTGCTTTAATTTGTTGTGCAATTAATTGATATATTGCTTATTGTGACAGGCCAAACTATACAATTTATTTCCACAACACTCAAAGTTATTCAGTTCAGAGATGTGAGATAAAAAAGAGACAGATACAGAAAATCATTCAACCAGTTTCTGCTCACAGCCAACCTGGTAACCTGGAAAAACGTCACACAGGCAAAGTGATTATAATTATTCAAAATGTCTAAATTATTCTAAATATATGAAAAAAAATTTTTTTAAATACATATTTGATTGAGCAAAATACTTCAGCCTTCAAATCATAAAGTGAAAAAAGTTAGTAAATTAGATGCTGTTCCTGTTGACTTATGACATTGATGAAGGCAAATTATACACTCTAAATTATTATACAGTTTAAAATTTCACATCAATAAAATAACTTTAGTTATCAATATTATTGACAAAAAGCAAGAGGCTCTGAAAAAACATATGTTATTCCAGAATCAATAAATTTTAGTCCATACCTGAATAATTTCCAACAGCAATGACTCTACATTCCTGCCCCACCTAATAGTGAAGCAGTTTTACTTTCACAGCTTTATATACATAGAATTGTGCAATAACAGGGTAGAGATTGGTTCACACCAATCTTAACGGGAAGCTAAGCTTAACAGGAAGCAAAGCTTCCTGTTAAGCTTAGCAGGAAGCTTTGGACACTTGTTCTTGAAAGTTGACTGCGAGGAGTCTAAAATCTTTAAAAAGATTTTAAAGTTTCACAACAGAATATCCAATAAAATAGCTGAACTTTTAAGCTTAGTTTCCTTTTAAGTAAATAATCTGTCTCCATTTAGTCATGACCCTTGCACCATCTATCATCATGTCCTCTTGGGCCACAAAAATTCAATTTCTTATCAATAGTGACGGTTTTTATTTATCTTGTTGGGTTTCAAAATCCAGATAGTCTTAACAGTTTTATAATGTTCTAGGAAATGCAAAACAAGTAAACGGACTGCATTTACTTCCTGATCCTCATCTGCATGTGAAGTCGGTACTAATTCATCTGGAAGATGGTGATGTCTGTTAGGAGGAAAGGTTCATTCTACAGTGAATTTGAAAAATGCTTTTAAAAAAAGTGGAAAAATCTACTGCCTAACCCCCATCTGAATTTCACGCATCATCTGGGTCATATTGTCTGCAATCCAGCAACTTTTAATTTCACTTTCGGATCAATTAAGTATTTTTGAACTGAGCTTTAATTGAATTGTGACTTATATACGTTCTGGCACATATTTCTTCATCTTACAAACCATTAGTCATGCTCCACTCCCTTTCACTGGGTATAAATTTTCAAAAATGTACATAATGTACATGTGTACTCTATATTAAAGAAAAAGTTTTTCACTTTATTTCTATGCAACTTAATTTATGGAATCATTTTTGGGTTATTTGAGTTATTAACAACAAGGACTGATGATCTTTTGCTTCTTATTAAAAGATTGCTAGAGATAGGCACCAGTCCAGAAAAACAGATGAACAAGAACAGTAGAAATGTTATTTAAAGACAAGTGAGAACATCAAGGATTGTGTAAATGCCAGTATGAATGTAAAGACATGTAACTGTAGAGAGAAGTGATGGTTATATCAACCATCAATAGTTTACAATAGTGTATTGGAAACTATTAAAGTACCACAAAATGAACAGCAGATGTCACTAATTCTCTCCTCTGAATAATCTACAGCATGATATGTGCTGTCAGCAAAATCAAAACAGCCATCAACATTTAAACAAATCTTCTGTTTCATTCAGTTTGCAGAGGACATATACTGATCATGCATAACATTATGACCTCTGACAGCTCGTTATCTCCTTTTTTATATATAAAGGGGAATTTTGATGGTTAAACATGAAAACCATGTGACTTTCAAAGCAATTATAAAGAATTTTAATATCAAATTGAAAGGTAATAAAAGGTAAAAGGTTTCTTTACTACTGTGCTAACTTTAGAAAATACTTGGATCTCTCAATTTTTGTTTGTAAACTTTCTGGATAGCTACTGAAAGTTTAGTCAAAACTTTACATTGTCATAGCCATTCTTTTTTGCAGAATAATAATAAAGGAAAATTTACTTTTCCATAGATGATCTAAGAAAAACAAACAAAAAACTGCTGTAGCAGAGTATCATCACAACAAAATTACAATCGTGTGGTGAGTCATGTTCACACAAACCTTTCCTTGTTGTCTGTGATGTCAGACAGACAGTAAAACAGTGCAGGTATTATATTTCAGTTTTTTGGTTAGTTTGCATCTCTCCTCACCACTTTCTGCCTGCATCAAAATTTCAGTGTAATTTGCATCTGTGCTGTTCAGCTTCTGTTGGGAGGAGCAAGCTGAGGTATGTGCATCTGCGTGAATCAGAGGCTGGGTGTCTCCAGCACAGGAGGGCAGCAGAAAGCAATGGAGTTGGAGAAATGAGTGTATGTGGGGGACAAAAAGAAGAAGCACAGGAAAGGATTTAATGCCTTATGCTCCCCTCTTATAACTTGGTGAGTTTTGAGCTTATAAAGATTAGTTTATCTTATAGAATGAGATGCTAAGCTGTTGTATTAGTATAATAATAGTAGACTGATGATTATAATAATGTGGTATTATATGCTTTTGCTGGAATTCTTTCTGTTGATAAAGATTTCTGTCATATTCTGTTCATATAACACACTTCAAGCTTTTATGGTTTGGAGTACTTTTCTCCAAACCGTACATTTTAAATGGATATCGCTTTTAAATTACACAAACGTCATACAATCATTGTCAGTTCAGCTAATACATAAAAAACTCACATGTTAGCTTGTTTAAATTAGAATTAAATCACATTTCAATATCTTGAGACACTTGTTAGCTGGTGAAAAATTGTTCCAGTTTTACAGTCAGTGTAGTGGTTCTATTGTGCGGAACTATGGGACTGTGAGGAAACCGAAATATTTCTTTCATAAATCTAGTCAACAGTTATTTGTCCATATTATGTATGAGAAATCAAGGAAGTGAGTGTGAGAGGTATTTTATTTCAGATTTTGTACTGTGAAGGCATTTAAACTCAATCAGTCACATCTGCTCTTATTTAACGTCTGATATTTGTCAGACATTCGATGTCTGACAAATGTTTGCTCACGTCTTTTCATGTGCTGACTTGGAGTAATAATTTATGTACGTCTCCTCCAGTCGGCAGGATGTGACTAAATGTGTGAGTTTGGTTGTCAGGAATATTCATACCATGAAACACTAAAACTTTCATGTTCAAACTTTAATTTGAAAAGCATAACAGAGGAGTTAATCAGTGTTATCTTGTAAATGTACAGTTATCCCAAAATTATGCATACATGTAGCCTCTAATAAATTGATTCAGACAGGCATCTTTCAAATGATAACAAAACAATGTAAATGAGCATAAGTTTTAAAAAGCAGCTGTTTTTTATTTGCATTTTGTTGAAAATTTTTCAAATGCATTTATACCTTTGACAATAATCACTGCAATATCTTCATTGGCATCACACCAATGAAACCTCCTGAGCAGTTTTTTCCACATATATTTCCACTGGCTGTGACCTGCATGCAAAAAATGTTGCATCACAGTTGAGTCAGCAATTAAACATAAGCTTATTGTCTTTTGAAGCAAGAAAACAAAATATGCCCAATCGCACTGGGTAAAACGTGCTAATAGGGCTTTAAATGCTCATTGTTGTTCTCACATATTTGTAACAGGTAACGTAAATTAGTAACTCGGTTATAGCAGTGTATAAATGTGCTAGAAGTCCATGCTAATGTAAGAAAAGTTGAGCGTATTCCCTGAGTGTGTATTGGTTAAGTGTTATTTATTTGTTAGTTTTAGCAAACAGGAAACTTAATTAATAGTTGCTGGTGAAGAGACTTAAAAATAGTGCTGCTTTAATTGTTTATGTGCTAGAAGAAGTGAGATAAGGCAGAATCATTTGTTGTTTGAGCAAAAATTGTTAATTTATTTGAGCAAAGTGGTCATTTTTATTTATAGGAAGCAAGCAAAAGCAATTCAGCTCAGTTGGAATAACGGTTTATCAACAGACATGTATTGTTGCTCCCATGTCTGTCTGTTAACAGTGGTCAACAATAGAGAAATAGAGAATTATTTATTGTGCAACTTTAGGTACAAATGAGTTGATAAAACTTGGATATAAATGTTTGTTCAGCAGCAAATACGCCTCTGACATTTTGCACAACAAAGTCTTTGAAATGTATGAAAACAACTTTATGGATTAAAAAAGTAAGCAAATTATTAACCAAGAGAACATTTTCAAATATTGTTAGCAAAAGCAGGACTTCAGCTGACTCATTTCCTTTTGTAGAGAAGTTATGGTTTCATCTGTCCTTCCCTTTCTCATTCAGTTTCTAACTATTTTTACAAACATTTTGCAGCAAAAACGGTCATTGACCACATGTGTGCATCTTTAAATGTGAAGGACTTAATGTTTTAGTGATAGTTTCAAATTGTAAAGTGCAGGATAAGTAGTTCAGTCAAGACAGCACTGAGTTTGATGAGAATATGTTAGCACCTCTGAAGTGTTAATCCCTTCTGTCCATGCAGTATTTCTCAATAGGAATGTAGCTAGACAACATTGACAGGCTTTAACATGCTGG